AAAGATTTTTTAAAATACCAATTCACCGCCCTCTTGGTTAGCCTTGGGACTAGTTCATTAGAGCTTAACATCCCTATCGAATTTCAGTATTGTTATTTCGTTCATCATGAGACTTTACACACTTTCTTACATGATTGATACAAATGTCACCATTATCATCCTTATATGATTTGTATTATCTGCTCATGTATTTGTTTGTAATTAGACTATGCATTGCCTCTAGTTATTGTTAAAGCTTTGTTCTTCATGGTCTAAAGCTTTGTTCAGCATATGCCTCCCACCTTGTATGGTTGCATTTGGAGTTCCTTAGTCCGCATAAGCTTTGCGTTCATTTATGACCACTTGAACAATTAGAATTTTCTTATATCTTTATTGTTCATTCATCAATTCATGGATTGGTTTTGTATGCTCCATTCGAATTCAAGTTCTTTAGAGCTCATGTTCATTCAAGTTTGAGTCCAATGTTTGCAGGTTCAATTAATGTTCAAATTGAGCTCAAGTTACATTTTAATATCAATTTTATTTTACTTAAGTTCAAAATCTTTATTATTCATCTTTTGCATTTTGTCCACAAGTCCAAGTACAAGTCCCCTATAATTCAAATTGTAAGCTTAAGTTCCCTGTATTTACTGAAAAATCAGACAACTTCTCGGCATCTCCCCAATTAAGGGAAAATTTTATGAGTCATAGCTTTCCCGCCACAGAAAGATGTGCATGGTCGGTGTCTGGGGACACTGGGGCCGTAGTCTTATTCCCCACCATGCCAACAAAAGCATACATGGATCTTCAAAAGTACCTATTTGAAAAAACAATTCTTCCTTGCATATGGGTACTTATATTTTTACCTTGCAGTGCAAAGAAAAGTGCACATAAGGATTGTCTACCTTGCCACAAGCATCGCACCAAGTTCCCTCTCACCACACTCAAAAAAGCGTGCATAAGTGTCACTTGGTACACTGCAAACATAAAAAAAGACTTTAGGTGGGATTATCCACTTCGTTGTGAGCACCGCAATGAACTCACTCCTATTGTTCTAAGACAAGAGCGTATGGGTGGTTACTTACCACACTACGGTCATCCACTACATAAAAATTACCCATTTCTGGTGGCTTTCTGGAGGTTAATTTTCTGGTAGCATTCCAGCAATTTTTCGATGGAAAATAATGAGACAAATTTTTCGATGAAATTTTCAGGCGGTTTTTTTTTCCACGAAATTTTTGGGCGGCCTTTTCAATTTTTTGGTGAAGTTTTAAAAATTTAATTAAGATGATTAAAATTTTAACTATTTAAATGATTTAACAAAAATGATTAAAAATTATAATAACAATTTATTAATTTTCAGCCGGCGCGGGAGAGCGGGCTAGCGAGAGCGGGGGGCGCAGGGTGGCGGGAGCTGGGTGGCGCGGGCGGGGTACCGCGAACGTGCAAGGGGGTGTTCATAAAGATTTTTTTAAAACTTTTTTTATAATTTACTGGTGGTTTAATTCCGCCGGAATTTATTTTCTTGCGAAGATTTTACCGGCAAAATTTTTCCACTAGAAATTTCGTAAACTGCCGGAAAATGATCAATTTCCACCAGAAAATTCTGCCGGTAATAGATGATTTTCCTGTAGTGATCAAAAATTAGATTATTGAGTTAAAGAAGATTATACATGACAAGAATTTTGAAAAATTACATAAATTACAAAAATGCACAAAAATATAAATTTCCATAAAATCCCTTCTTCTTCTTTTTTTTTGCATTCTCATTTTTTTTTAAATCTTCTATATATACTGATAATATACTAGTGTTATACTAAAAATTATAATTATAGTTATAATACCTAATAACGCTTAATAACTAAAAAAGAAATAAAAGATATGTACTTAAGTCTGGATTTGCTCGGATGAGGGAGGGTGAATTATTAGGTCCGGTGACCGGACCGTTCGGACACCAATCCAAATACGTCATGTCACCGGAATACATTGGACCCCGGGTGTATCTGGGTGACGTGGAGCGTTTGGATTGGTGTTCGGACGAATCTGAACACCAGAAGTGATAATTTTCGCAGAGGGAGAAGGTAGGTTGATCGAATGAAAGCTTGGTTGAGGTAGGGAAAAAAAACCCATCTCTCTCTGCCTCTGTCTCTCTCTCTCTGGACTGAAGGAACCCGATGGGGTCAAGATCTGGTCAGCTTGAGTGGCTCCAATTGATATGGAGGTCAAGAAAAGGTATGCGAGCGGTTGGGTTCAGTTCCGATGTGGGAATGTCGGAGCTGCTAGCGTCGAATGAGGGCTTAGAGATAGGTGGGTGGAAACTACGGATTGGAGCACGTTTGCAAAAGCTAGGCCGGTTGAATGAGGGCCGACTGCTTGCGGCGCTGGCTTATGGTAGAGAGGAGGCTAGATGGGTTGGATGAATGGGGAAATCGAAAGAGAGAAGAGGCTGGTTAAGGGAACTTGGTTTATAGGATGTTGGCAACGGGATTGAAGCAGAGGATCATCGAGTGGAGTGGATTCGACTGTGAGGAAGAGAAGTTGTGTACGGGAAAAGAACAATCGAAGTTCTTTTGGCTTGCATTTTAATAACGGAAATGGACCTCCTAGGAATCACGTGAAAAGCGGAAACGGCGCCGAACAGGTACAAAATTACGGGATTTATGCAGGAATTCGATGGGTTTGAGCCGGGATTTGAGGTGACGAAGTAGACGACGTTGATCTGCAGCTGAGCATTTTTTTCTCCTTTTTTTTGCTACTTGAGTAGATATCAACAGTTATAATAGTTTAAGAACTCCAAATACACATAACAAATAACAACTTATGTAAAAATCATCTTAAAGTTTATAAGATTAGGGAGAACATCAAAAATAGGTAGAACTACTCAACTAGCTGGAGGAAGAGAAACACTTGCTGTTAGGAGTATATGAGCCCCATTCACCACATTGATCACGTGCCAAATTAAGTCTTACTGAATGTCCCAAAAGTTCTTGTCCATTTAAATCATTCAATGTCTATCAAAATGAGGGCATAAAAATTAGTTTAAAGCTGTGATCTATAGGAAGCTGAGAGAAAATATTCTTAAGTATGAATAAGCAAGCATAACATTATAAGAAAAAGAAAAAGTATATATTTTTTAAATAACCAAGTAACCTTTTGAGCTCCTTCTGCAGTGGCAAATTCTACATGCCCAAACCCCTTGAACTGTCCATAATCAAGTATGGCTAATTGAACATCATTAATGTCCTC